CTTCTACAGAGGATGGGAACCTGTGGAATCCTTCCAGACTAAAGTAGTTTGATGGATCAAGACCTCTGAAAGATCATCATGAACAGCCCCAAAAATATTTCTGCTCTTAATTCAGGTATTGTGTTTGTGCAGCTCATTTAGAAATGGAAGGTATAATTAAAAAATATAGGTTGATAGTATCTATAAGATCAAACTTGTAGCCATGTTAGTTAGGTTTTCTGAATCTACAGAGATAAATTTCGATGGATAGTTATTCTTCAAACCTCTCAAAGACTAACATAATATGGCATTTAAAATATTTTAATCACTTAGGACTTTTCATGACAATGAGACACATCTGGTCCTGGAAGCACCAATTACTTTAAGAGGAAGATGGACGATGGACAACAAAGAGGCTTTTCATGGAGTTTCTTAGCCATTTGGGCAAGAAAATGCTCTTGTTTGGACTGCCTGACATGCAGAACCCATAGAAAAATGACTGCTGAAGTTGCCTAAAACAGGTGAGACCATCCTTCAGGATTCCTGCTTCATGCAAGAGTCTACCAGACATTCTGCAGGACACAGAAGAATGTGACTGACAAACTGCCAATATAGTCTTTGAAATTTCCTGCTTCATTGAAAAGTCTGCCTGATACTATGGGCCTGTAGGCTGAAGATGGATGCTCCAATGATACAGAACTTTGGGTGACTGTCCAGGCAGCAAAATGTCTCTGTCAATTCTGGAGCTTTGGAAGTTGACTACAATACACTTCCTGTTTACTTAGGTAATAATATATCCTTCTAGAGTATTTGATGGAATTGAAGAATAGATAGTTATAGTTATAGTATTCCTAAATTATGATAAAAGATATAATAACTGTAATTCTTACTCTATAATTGTTTTGTTATATGTAACTTTGCTGTGTTAAAGTTAAAACTTTCCTTTTAATTTAAACAGAAAAGGGGAAATGGTGTGGGAAGTCCTGTATATGTGTTGCTTTTATTGATTAATGAATAAAAAAGCTATTTTGGCCTGTGATTGGGCAGAATAGAGCTAGGCGGGAAAATTAAAGTGAATACTGGGATTAAGAAGGCAGAGTCAAGAGAAGCCAGGTAGCCTCACCCCAAATTGGAGACAGATGCCAGATGCCAAACAGAACTTTACTTAGAATCAGCTAAATCCCAAGCCTGCTGGTCATGCTTTATTGGGTCATTTAAGATTAGAAAGTTTACCTTAAATCTCTATCATTTGAAGTCAGAAAATAAAACCCTAAATTTGGACCACTCTTTCTGGTGGCATCTTAAATTTAAAAAAGACATAGAAGAAAAAAGCTTTTGCCTTTAGTGTGCTTGGCCTCATTTTCATAGGTAAATTTGTCTACTCTGATGCTGAGGCATTTCTTAGTTTGCAAAGAAACCTACTTTTTTGGTTATCCAGCATATACTGAAGACCACCTGAGATAGACCATAGGTTATCAGCCATATAGATATTCTATTGTTCTCTATAGAACCTTGATTAATACTAATTATGGAACCAGAAATGATTCCACAGTGACAAAAGCCTAAAATTAACCTTTAAGTTTCTGAAACGGGCTTTCCAATTTGCCAACATCTATAGCTACTAAAGCCGCTTCTAGAAGCATGGAGAGCCCAAAACAAACAAACAACCCCAAAAAACAGCTATGTTATGGATTATTTAACAAACTTACTGAGATAAATGCATGTGATTACTGTGATTCTCCAATTGTGAGAAGCAAGGAATTTGGTGACCTAATACATAAAACTTTTGACAATTTGTGGAAAAGTAAGGAAAATAATGGTGCTGTTCAGTGGCTCCTAACCTCTCTGGATAAGCTGACAAAGAACAAGAGGGAGCTCCGTGATAAAATTAATCAACTTCTGACAACTTAGGATACAGGAACAAAGGAAAAGATTGAACTCAGAGATATAAATAGACCTGTTCCATAAGAACATAAACAGTCTAAAGGTTTCTGAATGTGCCTTGCAAGAGAATCTTCTTTCTAGCTGCCAGAAACCAGGATCCCAGAACCAAGCAAAACAACAAAGGCTATTGGCATTCTTCTTGGTTGCCCACAAGAGCTAGGACATAATACCCTACTGCTGAAAATACCATACATTATGCTTACAAGACATTTAGGGAAAGCAAGTTACACCTAAACTGCAAATTTCTTCCCTGCTGGTTGACATTCTAGTCCCAGAACATGATAAGCAGGATGCTGAGCGAAATAAAGCCTCAAAGGTATTAAAAATTTGTGAACCTTGGGAACTGCATCACTGACCACAGCAATGAGTATCAGCTGGTTATGGGAGCAGCCATAACTGTCCTCAGATTGGACTGGAGGCCTGTTCCTCATAAGATGCCTGATATAGTAAGACTGGAAGGGAAAATAGAGCTTTGTTTGAAATAATTATGGGTGAATCATAGTAATGTTTGAGCTAGTTTTCTGTATATGGGCAATATTTTCTATATATTCACAAATCCTAAAATAAAATAAGAAAAATTAATTAAAAATAATTTGGCGTTAGTGGTGCATTCCTTTAATCCCAGCACTCGGGAGGCAGAGGCAGGTGGATCTCTGTGGTTTCAAGGCCAGCCTTGTCTACAGAGCTAGTTCCAGGACAGAATACAAAGCTACAGAGAAACCCTGCCTCAAAAATGAAAATAATAATAATAATAACGACAAAAATTAATATGTGTGTACATGTGTATGTGTGTGAACATGTGTATATGTGTGTATGTGTGTGTGTTGTTAGTCAAAATCATCAATTAACAGTTTTCTTTAACTCTGTGGATGAATAAGAACTCCTGGTCATCCCTTCTAGCACATATTTACCTGTGTTCTTCCACTACTTACATGATAATAATTCTCCATTTCTATTGTTCAATGCCAAAATCTTAGAAAACATCACTAAAACGCTCTCTTCTCTATTCTTTCACACCTTTTTTCTAATACATCAGAAAATCCTATTGGCTCTAAAATCCATATATATTCAGCATCACATTCCTCTTCTCTTGTCCAAACCATCTTACACACTCATGCGTACATTGCTAGAGTGCCTCCTAACTGCCTTGCTTCCATATTTGCTAATTTATACTCTGTTCTCAGTCCAGTTCCCAGAGTCATCCATAAAAGTACTTGGCAGTGCAAAAGAGGCAGAGGATGATTGCCTCCCTCAACATCATCCCTTCAAAATAATTGTACCTTTGGTGAGTGTATAATCAATAAAGAAGGAGAAAGGGCCCAACAAAGTATCTCTTAGGAGATAATCTGAAGGCTTATACATACATTAATTCTTCCTATGAATGATTAACCAATACTTTTGCAAACTCACAACTTACTATTAGTATAAGTAGGGTCACTGCCTATATTTCTTGTTGATAAGGAATCCAGATAAAATTTAGTTCATTTCAGAAGCTTTGGAATCTTCATAAAAGAGAGAAGAAAGAAAGAAAGAAAGAAAGAAAGAAAGAAAGAAAGAAAGAAAGAAAGAAAGAAAGAAAGAAAGAAATGGAGGAAGAAAGGAAGGAAAGAAGGAAAAAAGAAAGGAAGGAACTGTGAGCAATTAGAATCCTCCAATTCTCCAGTCTTGTGTAATGATATTTTGTTTGTGACCTAACAAATAAAGCCTATATGAAGAACAGAGTGCAGATCTTTAACCATAGAGGCCAAATGATTTGGGAGGCAGAAGCAGAGGCATCTCTTTTAGTTCAAGGCCACCATTGGATACACAATATTTAATCTGTCTAAAAGAGAAACAGAACTCACACAAAGATCCTATGCCTTTACTGCAAGCACTAGGGAGGTAGAGACAGGAATGATATGACTGGATGGAGAGAGAAATATAAGGCAGAAGGAGACAGGAGGTCAGATGCAGTCAGGTGTTGTAGAGAATTTATAGAGGTAACATTGCCCCTTCAGTCTGAGCATTGGTAGAAGTAAGAACTCTAGTGTCTGACTGCTCTGCTTCTCTGATC